CCTTTCACAAGCCAAACAGAGACTACCCATTAGCATAAAAAATTCTAACAGTTAAATCAAATCATCTCTAATTCTTCTACATGCTCAAAAGTGCCATTCATACTATTTGGTAACAGTAGTTGTGCCTTGTCATAGCTATAATATAGAAAAATCTAATTATCTCTTAATTGTTTTAAGTGTATATTTAATAATATTCTACTGCGCAACAAGCATGATATTGACCATTGTATTCTTTTCAATACTGTCAATGATGCCTTATTCTTTGTTTGTAAGAATGATGTACCTACATACTTGTATGAAGGGTAATTGACATGTGTGTAAATCTTCCTAGGAATAACTTTTACTTAGTTTTTCTTACACAGTTTGATAAATACCAGAATCACATAAATAATGTTCAAAAAATATATACCTTATTTTTATAATAGCAAAATAACATCTTTTGGTTTTAAGTTTCTTCTTTTGTATATCAGAAAAAATTATGACACCAAACACAGAATGATTTTTAAATGACTTGAAAATATGTTGATGAAAATTCTTACCTTTTAGTTCATTATCTTGATTCTCCTCAAAGATTCGTTTTTCCTGTCTAAGTAAGAGTCGATTATCTCTACCACACACATCCAAGGGTTTAACTTGAACCATGGCAGCCTAAGGATAACAGTAATGAATGCATAAAAGTTGTAAAAGATACTTCCCAACACTATGTTTAACAGATAAGATGAGGTTTTATCATTGAAAAATGTTTTTAATTTTCATACATTTTCAGTTAGAAAACAATCCCTCATTTGTGCAGTATTAGATTTTGTTTTAATACAAAACTCTTTTAACTCTTATAGGAACAAGGGAATGTCTCTGAAATTCCTTAAAATTTAATTGTTTTTTTAAAAGCTGATCAGAAAGTTAAATTCTATTTATCCACTCAATTTCAATTTAATTGATTTTCATGTTAGCATTTTCTTAAATTGAAAATGTATTTCCAACAATATTTACCTCTTCTCACACTACAGCTATTACTTAATTGTTAGTTGTTGTTTTTCCTTTGCTCATCTAAGCATTGGTTTGATTTTTTTCTCAGTTGCTCCAGTCTTTTATTCTCCACTTAATTTCCCTTGGCAATATCTGTCTCATGATACTCTCCACCTACATCAATACACCCTCTCTTCTGATATTGTATACAAGCACCTTCTTCAGATAATAGTGTCACTTTTTCAAGACTGACTCATTTCACAGTCTCTAACACCAGCTCTAAGTGGGTGCTCTTAGTGGATAGGAAGAGTGAGAGAGTGTGAAAGAAGGTAAGTATTATTGGAAATACATTTTTGATTTAAGAAAATGCTAACTTCCAAAATATACTTACCTCCACTCACACTACAGCTAGAATCCCACATTGATAAGGTAGAGGGGCCAATGAGGGCATTATCTATAGAATGCATCTGCATAGATTGTGAGCATGCCAAAAGAAATAGAAGATAGACTAGTACCATAGTGGGGGAACTGCACTACATCCAGAACAGGTATGCTCTTCACCCGGAGCTTAAATCATGCACTGCGGATGGAATTTGATGTGATCCATCGTCACCACTGCCCAGGCCCCAATCAAGTAGCTGAGGTCTCACTGCTTGGGGATTGGATTATAGGACCACAGCCCCTGATTCCCACATTGATGGCTAGGGCAGTTGGACCTCAATATATATATATTTGTGAGTGGATCCCAACCTGTAGCTATAGAGTGATTCGTTTAGAGCCACTGGAATCATGACAAGAAGGTAAGCAACACCAAAGTGGACAAACTCTCTCCTCAACCTGAAGAAGTCCAAAAGGCAACACCCCAAACTTGAAATGACAGGATCCTGTATGCCATACTCAAGCTGAGGAAACAGAACTCATTCAGTTTGGAATTATGAACTCTCATCCTCACTCCCCAACCATGTGGGCAAGGTAATTTCCATTTGCCCCTGGAATTATAGAGAGGGCATGGAATAAACTGTGCTCAACCAAGAACCCACAATGGGACCTTTCTGCACACAGTAAAAGAAGGCACTAGAAAAAACAAATTTAAATTTTCTCCAGAATATCCAGGATCACCTTAAGTGCAGCCTCAGAGCCCCCAAGAGAAATATCACCGAAATGAATGTATGTCTCCATCTCACTACAGATAAGGTCACAGAGAGCTTCAACTGATAGTGCCTCCCCCTCCACCAATTTCTTGAACAATGCTAGATATCAGAGGTAGGATAGGACAGATCTGATTTGCCTCCATGCTGGATACATTAATCTTGGAATTCATGACGTATACTGGCTTGCCAAATGAAAATTCATATTTTTTTTGTATGTAAAACAAAAAGGTAACACAAAGAATGTTCAAAGTATCTCCAACAGTTGCACTACAGAGAAACCCATTAGTGAATGCTTTATCAAGAAAAAGTGACAATATTATCTGAAGAAAGTGCTTATATACAGTACCAGGAAAGAGGGTGCATTGATGTAGGTGGAGAGTGTCACGAGACAGATATCACCAAATGCAATTAAGTGGAGAATAAAAGACTGGAATTAACATGAAAAAAATCAGACCAATGCTTAGATGGACAAAGGAAAATAAACTCTAAAATTCGAGTAATAACTGTAGTGTGAGAGGAGGTATGTTTTGGAATAACATATTTGTTTTAACACTTAATTTTACATAAAACCCCACGAGAAACACAAGACACAAATCGTTATATGAAAAGCAGTTGAAACAGAGTTAGATTGTTTTAACTTGAATTTTTTTAAAATTGATATGTAAATATTAGGTCGTCAAGAAATTAATGTCACATTTTTGAACACTTTCATTACCTCCCCCTAAAAGAAAACATACATCACGTATAGTAGTTAAACAAACTGCCTAAACATCATGGGAGTGTAGCCTATATAATGTGTAAAGTTTAGCATACTCTAATCCCTTATAGTGATGGCACACAACGAGACACACATTTGGCATGTAATGCTGTTTGAATACAAAAAAGGAAACAATGCCTTTAGAAAGAAGTTTATGGAAATCTTTTGAACGTTTGTGTCATCGATGGTTCAGCAAATTTTGTTCAGGTGACTTTAGCCTTAAAAACTGTGATGGCAGGGGCCAACATGTTGGAACTGATAATCATGATCTGAAGAAGCTTATT